GGTTTTAGATTCTCAGTGTTGTGCTTTAACCCGCTGCGCCACCAGGGAGGGCCTCTTATCTCTATTTTTAAGACAAAAAAAGTATAGAAAAACCAGACTGTGAAAAAACATTAGTCATACTAAAACATCTGAAAAAAATCAAAATTGTAGGTTGAACATGGATTTTCTTTCTTTGTTTGTTTGTTTGTTTATGCATGCATGCATACCAGAACTGGGGTATGGGTCAGAGGTATGGAGGGGAGGGCGAGAGGATTTACCAGAGACAGATTGGGGAGCAGAACAAGTAGCCTGATTTAAATACATTGCTGAGAGGAGCAGCTGGTGAGACAGGAGAGGTCTGCTGCTATGTCATGTGGGTCCGCTTCCTGGTTGGGGATCACACTCATGCTGCAGTGGCTGCAGATAGCTTCACTGTGCTGCGCTTTAAAACCCTTGTGCCACCAGGGAGGCCCAAAACAAAGATCTTTTCTAAATAAAATTTTATTTTTTAAATGGTTCTGGTATTTTTTTAAATTGAGTATCTTTTTTGTAGAATTGTAGAGGAATAAAAAGAGGAAAAAATATGAATCATGTATATGTGTATTACTCAGGCAAGGGGGATGATAAAACATGTATAGTAAAAAAATTGACAATACAAGGGTATAAATAATTAGAAAGACATGTAATGTCTTTGGAAATGAAAATGTGCTCAATGTTAAAATACAAAACTAAAGTGTGATGGAACTGACTCCCCTATTACACAATTTTAGATACATAGGAATAAAGCAATCTTCTCAATGAGTATTTTTATAAGTCCTAGACTTGGGAAAATAGGAGTTTTATCACTTAATATCTGTAAAATTTTACTTTTCTTAATTTCAATAATTTTTTATTTGCAGATAAAATTCACTTAGTCTCTGAAAAAAAAATTAAAGTTAATTTGAAATATTTTAACTAAGAAGATTTTAAAAACATAGTTGCAGGTAATAAAACTGAAGTTTACCACATCATCGAAGCTGGCAATATAGGCCCAATGTCCAGGAAATGGCTCATGGTTAGCATGGGCACCCGGAATTGATGGAAGAGTAGGTATCATAACTGATTGCAAAGGAATGAGGATTTCACTAAAAGTAGCTTCTTCTACCAGTTTTTTAAGCATTTTAAAATGAGTGCTCATGCTTAATGTAGAACTACTTCCATCAACCTGGAAGAAAAATAGTACATTTTAATTTCTCTATGTTTACCTTGATTGCTTAATTTCATAAAAATAAAGACTTTACTTCTACAAAATCTTAATTACAATGATTCAGCAGCCTATAGTTTCCTAAGTATTTTTATACATTTTATCTTGTTTGCCCACTTGGCATTATTTTCCCTTATCAATAACAGTGCTGAAGTATTGCTTGACAATAGTGTTAGTTAACAACTCTGGAAATAATAGAGGTACACAATCTGTTTAATCAGACATTACAAAATCAGATGAGCTCTATAAATCAATTTTTTTGGTACCAAATCACATTTGGCAACAGAATGATAACTGAACTTTTAACTTAATGAAAAGATTAAGAAATAGTTGTATATTTAGTTAGGGGATACTCCATTAGATCGAGACTCAATATAAACAATACACACTATATTACCTATAAAAATTGGAAAAATACTGAATTCCTAGATACAGCAACCAAACAGGACTAATACATCATAAAAAAAATACTATTTTGAAATGTTTATTGATGCAGGAAAGGTGAGAGATACAGAAGTTTGTTTTTTCACCTATAAGCAGTAAATAAGTGAATCTTTTAAAAGTGAAATCTAGCTATTCAGCTTATGAGTCTCTCCCTCTTTACATCTACCCCCACTTTTACTTTTCCTAAAGGCTTTAGGAGTTTTTTCAATGCAACTCTAAGATAATAATATATTTTTTTTAAAGATTTATTTATGGCCCTCCCTGGTGGTGCAGAGGGTTAAAGAACAGCACTAAGAAGCTAAATAAAGCCACTTAAGCGTGAGTTTGATCCCTGCCTGCCCCGGAGGTGATCCACATGGCTGGGTAGACCTCTCCTGACCCACCCGCTGCTCCCCTCAGCAGTGTACTTCATAGATCTGCCTGTTCTGCTCCCCATTCTGTCTCTGGTAAGTACTCTCACTACCCCTGAACCTCTGGCCTGTACCCCAGTTCTATATGCATAAGGGTACAGGCCAGAGGTGCAGGGGTGGTAAGATTCACCAGAAACAAAGTGGGGAGCAGAACAGGCAAACTGATAAAAGTACACTGCTTAAGGGAGCAGCATGTGGATGAGGAGAGAGGTCTGCTGCACCATGTGGAACATCTCCCGGGCTAGGATCGAACTCACACTGAAACAGCTGTGGCTAGCTTGCAGTGCTGTGTCCTAACCCGTTACTCTACCAGAGAGGGCCAAGAATAGTACGTTTACTCCTGTATGACGTATTGGAAATGTAAAGAAACGACAGTGTAATCATACGAAGAACTTTAATTAACTAAACATTTTGCGTATTCATGTTTATAGCTTATTTCATATCATCTACTTAACATTACTTTTAATAAATACATACCATGTATTCTTACAAAAATATACATTTAAAAAATTAAGAATTTTAATTTAATTAAATAAAACTAGATAAAATTGTATAGATATTTTATATAAAGTTATCAAACACTGGTTTGTCAGAAGTAAGGTTTATAGTACCGGCTTATTGCACAATTCCAGAAGCTTATCTGTTAGGCGAGTGGCGTCTCCAACAAACTTTTCTAAGGACTTTTTCATTTGAATAGCTTTATTCAGGATTTCCTTACATCTGTTCACACGCATGGGGTAAGAAGACTGTTATAGAAAAAAAGTTAAATGTAATTTTATACAATATTTTAAAAAGGTATTTCTTTTGTGTGACAAAAATCAACTGACAAAGCATTTATGATATGGCTTACATTGATACAGATTCTCCAGAAATAAATTTGACAATATTATCAAAAGCCATAAGTGAACACATGACATTATGCTCACATCACAGAATACTAGTCAGCTGATAAAATATTGAATTAAAGCTATGAACTTATACAAGCTACCTAGAAGATTTTATATTACATAATGAGTGGGGAAAACAAGGAATAAAGAACTATGTCTACAGAATATATAATACTCAGCAACCAATAAAAAAGAAGAAACACATGCATTTTGCAGCAACATGGATGGAGCTGGGAAAGATCATGCTTAGTGAAATAAGCCAGAAAGAAAAAGAAAAATACCAGATGGTTTCACTCATAGCAGGAGTATAAAGGACCAAGGGAGAAAATAATAATAATAATAAACAACTATATACCAGAGACATTTTATGGGGGTGGTTTGAGGAATGGGATCAAAAACAGTGGTGGGAAGGAAGTGCATGGACTATGCTGATGGCACATCGGTGATCTGGTGATGGAAAGCCCATAGGGATTACAATTAAGATGGAAAAATGCACAAAATGATGTAAAAATAAAAATATTATTTAAAAAAATTAGTGAACAAAAAAAAAACTATATCCACAGAAAATACTTACTAGCATATTTACTAGCATTTACTAGCATAAACATGTTAATGGTGATATTCTTAACTGAAAAGTACAAAATTACATATCTATGTAATCTAAATTCAATATTAAAATAACATACAAACTGCATTAGAATATTATTAAATGGTAGGAATGAATTTTAATTTTTTTACATCTCTGCTTTTTAAATTCTCTAAAATATTGATTAGATATATTTAATATATATATTTTAAGATTTATTAATTTTTCATACAGAGCTAGGTACAGGGGGGGTGAGAGGATTATTCACCAGAGACAGAGTGGGGAGCAGAACAGGCAGACTGAGGAAGTATACTGCTGAGGGGGGCAGCAGCCAGGTCAGGAGAGGTCTGGCGTGCCATGTGGATCACCTGAGGGGCTGGGGATCAAACTTGCACTGAAGCTGCTGCAGCTTGCTTGCAGTGTTGCATCCTAACCCACTGCACCACCAGGGAGGGCCCATATTTACAATATATTTACAAACTTACAAATTCCCATTAATGGGTGCAATGAAGTTTTTCTAGTATTAATAGTTCAGGTACTTTACACTGAGACACCTTAAAAAGTAAGTGGCCGATTTATACAAAGCATTAACAATTTACTAGACTTTAAAGAAAATCCATGCTGAATTCTTTGACCTGAAACACAGTAGTCACTTCATTTGAGGTGGTAAATATTCCTGCATTTAAAATTGAGACATTTGCTATAATTCTTCCCTTTTAAAAAAATAATTAAAATTTATGTTCTGCTACTATCAAAAGGAGAAGTCCTGGTACCTGCAGTTACATATTAACAAGAAGTAGTCAATGCCAGATAAGATGGAAACAATATTACCTTTGACACAGCTGTCATCATCCACATTGCTTGTTGAGGATAGGCCAAAAACACTTTAGCTATAATTTCCATCAAGACAACAAAAACTTCATCATGAGAATGACAAATTCGAGAGATCAACTGTGAAAAAGCAGTCAAAAACTGATAGGGAGCTAAGTGATTTGTGTGTTCCGTAATCACTTTGTTTATTTTAGATAAATCATTTCTCATCTGTACACGATCAGAGCGTCCAGCTGGAAAAAAAAATTCAAAAGTTAACAATCATTTCCTTTCATAGAAGGAAAATCTGCTTTAAAAACAATTTTTTTTAAAAAAGTGTATTATTCCCATACTAAAAGTTAGATCGCTTGCCAATTTGTGAAAAAGAAAAGTGTTTTTTTTTTTTTTT